ACAAGTACATAGAAGACAGCACACTAAAAAAATTCTTCTGCAAATACACCAGAATTACTTAAGAAGAAAAAAATGCTTTTTAATCACAAGTCTATGTAAAGTATGCAACAAAGGTTTTTATCTTAAAATTTGACACATACCACACAGTAACCACACACAAAAAATTTACAAAATTATGGGGCAGTAACACTGGAGTGAGGGTGTGGGAAAGCCCTGTCCCTCTCTGAGGAACAGCAGAGTCTGATTCTAGTTGAGATGCAGTCAGCAGCTCAGGCACAGGCAGAAAAGACTGAGGAATTCTTGTCATGCCTCCATTACCCTGAGCCAGTCATCACAGCTACAAGCCCAAAAGTTAAACTACTTTCTAACACATAGTGAATCAGATCCCTTAAGATGACATTTGGAAGTTTTTAATGCTCTCAAGCCAGAGGAACAAAGCAGATTTTCTGAACTGGGCACAGTTCTTCAAAATCAGCTTCTATTAGCCTAAGGCTGTGGTTTCACAAGCAGCTGTGAACTAATCTGAAGCTTACTGCCACTACAAGTCATCTCACACATCCACTTAAGCCCTGCACTTACCTTGCTCCTCTGACAACCTCATTAACCCAGCCAAAAAACTGCAGAGCTTCCTCCTGGGGTAACCAGCTGAGGCTACTCATGGATGGGGTCCAAAAAAGCGTGGAAAGGGCATCTGAGCTGCCTGCAGCAACAGGCAGGCTGCCCTGCCAGTCACACGGCTAAAAGTCACAATACAGAAGGCAAAGAACTCAAAGTAGAATTTGAGATTTGTCCTCCGTGGTCACTTAATACTCACAAGGGGCCCCATTTAACAGCTGATGTTACCTGACACTGTTACAATTGTTCCCCTGCATTTGTATTAACATTTGTGGTGTGTGCACATCAGGGCATCTTCCCCATCTTCCTTTGTTCATGCAGAGATTTCATAAGAAAATAATAATTTGTGCAAGAAATTACATGCCTGGGGTGTAATTAAAGCAGAAACTCAGCAGTGCTTCTTTGGCCTCTGTCCTTACTAAAGGAAACCTCAGAGGAATTCTGCCACCACACTAATTCACACGACTCCTTGAGAACAGAAAAAAAAATTATAATCATATTTAGGAGAAAAAAAAAAGGCATTTATTTTACCAAGTGGGGAATTTTATTAGGTCAGAATAATAAACCTAGTAACAGCAAGATGATTATAGCTAGAAAAAAGACAACTGCACTCCTCCAGGGAATCTGTATGGAAGTATTACTCTACCAATACCATCATGAAGCCAATCATTCATGCATTACAAAAGATGTAATAAATACTGTGACTCCAGTACTGTCCACCTGTGAAAGGTGACACAAAGGAACACGAGGAGCAAGAATTCACTTTTTCTAGAAATCATGAATGATCGCCTAGGCCACAGTGAAACAGCCTTCCCAACCTCAGCTTCATTAGGAGATAGCTGTTCTCCAATTCCAGCCGTTTACATGATCCAGACCTGGGATTTAAGGCAGAAAAAGCAGGAGGGCTGATCTGAATGCTGGCTCTCAGCCAGCACACCAGTCACTGGGGACAGAAGGCGCCTGTGGCAGCTGGCCTCAGAGCCCTGCACTAAAATGGATAGTCATTAGATAGCCTGAGCAGAAGCTGAAACAATAAAGAGCTGTAATATATCCAAATGGAGACAAAAGGGAGAGGAAAAAGCAAGAGATTGACATGTTTTGCTCAATTAAAGTATTTTCCTCAGTCTGCAAGCTGGCAGAGGGAAGTTCTGCATAAGCCATAAAACTAAGGTATCTTGTACCCTTTTCAGCCACATCATCATACCTGCTGAGTCTAAAACTCCAGTTTTCAGACAGACACTTGCCTTTTCCAGGCTGGTATACCTGGCAGAAATTCATTTTTGCTTTAAGAGGGTTTCTAGAAGACTTTTGAGTAAATGCACAGCGTTTTCCTGCGAACATATGAGTCTCGTCACCAGCAACTTGCTAACATGTAAAAAATGTGAGAGGGAGGGTGAAAAGAAAGGGGAGCAGAGGGAAGGGAGCTGTGCTGGGAGCAATGACCCTTCTCCTCCTCCAGCACAGGAAGAGCTGTAGGCAGTCTCTGGTTCCTTAGGTGACCCTGCAGGAATGAGCAGTGACTCATCTCCTTTGGGAGCCTCCTGGAAGCACCCCAAGGAGCCCTGCTGCCTACATGTGTGTGCCACCCAGTAATAGCACCCAGCCCCCAGCTGGGATGGGCCACCATGACTCCACCAATTACCTCTCATCTTTGCAAATTTAATTTCTGAAAGAGGAAAATGTTAAGTATGTCACTACTTTGCACTTTTTAGGAAGTTGAAGTTAACCCTGCACAGTGCTTCTCGCACCATGACATAAAATCTCAACGTCTTGGACACTGCTGCTTAAATAATTAAACTGTCTGGTGACATTTAAGTACATTCATATATTAGGGTGACACAGCATAGCTCAGGGAACACTACAAAACAGCCCAGGTCTCCTCGTTACAGAAACCCTGGCACAAGGAATTAGCTACCCAAGCTGATATATTCAGGCGTCCCCAGCCAGTGCCAAATACAAAAATACAGAGAGAGCTGGCCAGGCAGGGGGAGCACAGAGCCATTGCCCAGAACAGAGAGTTTCACCAAGGTCATATCATATGAAGAGCAGGGATTAACCAAGAGACAGGGCATCCTTAATACTCAGAAATTAGAAAATCTACTTCTTGCTGCACCAGACAATTAATCAGGAAATCAGGTAGTGAGAAAGGATGGCCCTGCAGCAGCCCAGGCCAGGCCTGCCCCCACACAGTTCTCCTCAGGCTAAACCATGTAGGTTCACATACCAAGCAGCTTTGCCTTTCCAAGCAACTCATCATCTAAAAATTCCAACAATTCCTCTTAGAGCAGAATTCTCCACTTCAAACCACTTCGCTGTCAGAAGCTTCCCTGCAGCTCGGGAGCTGGAAAGACTCAGATATCTCTGCTGTCTTCCCAAACAGACTGAATTATCACAGCTATGCTTCTCCACACCATCATTAAACTGTGCTCATGTCCCACATTCACAGGGACAAATATAGCGATAGGACATGAACAAGAACACTCATTTCCCATTTGCTACAAGTAGGGCTGTAGAAAAAAGCTCCCTCCCCCTTCTCCTCCTCCTGACACCGTATCATGTTATACTGTGTAAAACCAAAGCCCAGGGGTGCAGCATCACCATTTTGTAGGGCTCTCAAACAAAAGACCAAGTCCTTATTATGGCTTTCATGTCTTTTATTGATGCTCACAAACCATTTAAGAGTTCTGCTCAATACTCAACTAGATTAAAAATAAAAATGAAAATAAACAGGAAGTATGCTGAAGTCTGGAGTTTTTTACCTGCCATTATCTCAGCGATCTGACAACTCCCTGAAAGGACGTTTTAGGCACCCAGAAGTTGACCTCTTCTCTGAAGCAACCAGCACTTGGACAAGAGAAAATGGCCTCAAGCCATGCCAGGGGAGGTTCAGGCTGGAACCATTCAGGAAGCATTTTTCACTGAAAGAACTGTAACGCAATGGTACAGGCTGTCCAGGGAGGTCACCATCCCTGGAGGTGTTCTCACAACTTAGTGCTACAGTTTACTTAATACAATGTTGTGTCAAAGGTTGGACTCTATCTTTGAGATCTTTTCCAACATTAACTATTCTAATAATACATGCAGATGAGGACAAGGAGGTATGTCCACTACTTACCAAGGCACTGAGCTCTGGTCACTAAAAAATGCCCCACAGAACGCACTGAAAGACCAAAGTGCTGCTGCATGCTCTACACAGGCACAATCAGCTGCTTTGGATGAGTTCTGTTGCCATTCATTCCACTCAGGCTGAGGGGTTCCTACAGGCATTCACTTCCCTACAAAGTTGAGAACAGACCCCATCCTGCAGGAAGTAATACTGTGAAGCTGCATCAGTGATATTCAGGATGCCTTTCTATTTACACAGTGCTGACATTTAAAATTTATATGCTCTAGTCAAAGTTGTACCTACATCTCTCAAAGGTCAGCCAGCAGCCCTTGGTCATTAGCACTGTGCAAACAGGACAAAGGTCTCTGCTAAATAAACCAGAGAATCACCAGGCTTCTCCAATTTTTTGCAAGATAGGATAAAAAACAATTCTGAAAGAACAAACATCCCTCAAGACTTATACACCTGGTCCTATATGTACATAAAGCAACACTTGTCTAATCTGCAGTTGTTTGTTTATGTGCAAGGGAAACATGCAGGAACAAGTTTCTCCTGTGCATATTTACATCTAAAACCTGGCTCCCAACATCAAGTGGACACACACTCCCCATTTCACCCATTTAATCACAATAAGGCAGGGCTGACCAGAGACCAAGGCTGGGTAAAGACTTTCACCAAGACAGTCTGAGATTCCCTGGTGCTCAGCACCCCTCTCCTGTTGTCCCTGCAAGACCTCTGGGTCCTGGCAGAGTGACAGCCTGTCTCCCTGACAGTCCCTGTCCCAAAGCTCTCACTGTAGGGGCTGCTGGCCAAGGCTATTAATAACCAACACTGTGCCAGAAGTTTCCTTGTGCCAAACCCAAAACCTGGCTTCTCAAAGTCTTTTCTGCAGCTGTCAAGAACTCATGTGATCGATTACAGAATTCATTTGCGTCTTCAGCCTAAATCAGACAAGGCAACAAACCCCAAATTCGTACCAACTAACCACTCACCACAGATTTGAAAGTTTTATCTGCAATTAAATCACTGACTTACAGTTCTGCTCTTGCTCAAGTGCATGAGAACAGAGCCTCCATCAAACCACACATTTCATAACTTACAAAAGGCAAGAACAGGTCTCCACTCTCTACAGACCCAGCAAATACGATCTATTTGTTTATTATTTTAATAAACATTATTCATGAATGT